CAAAAAGGAGAAATAGCAATCACTAGCCGGGGAAAGGTCAGATGACCAACGACCTCAGCCGGCTGGTGACTGCCTTGATGTCATCCTAGATGACAGCCGTCCTGAAAGAACAGTCAAGGTCGGGACGGTAGCCTTCGAACGGTTGGGAGAAGGCTTGCTCCAGCTGCTGAAGGAATTCAAAGACATCTTTGCCTTTGAAGTGGAAGAGATGCCAGGCGTCAGCCCGGATCTTGCTGTCCACAAGCTAGCCGTAGATCCCAAAAAGCAGCCGGTTAGGCAGAAAAAGAGGGATCATGGTGGAGAAAGATCTCAAGCGGCAGCGGCTGAGGTCAAAAAGTTGTTGGATGCTGGGTTCATTAGGCAATGCTACTACCCGGATTGGGTGGCAAATGTCGTTCTAGTAAAGAAGCCGAACAGTACTTGGCGGATGTGTGTGGATTACACAGATCTGAACAAAGCATGCCCAAAAGATAGCTACCCGCTTCCAAAGATTGACAGCCTAGTCGACTCAACAGCCGGCCATGCGTTAATGAGCTTTATGGATGCTTATTCCGGCTTCCATCAAATACCTCTCTGGAAGAAAGATCAGGATAAGACGGCTTTTGTCACTGATCAGGGGTTATTCTGCTATACGGTGATGCCGTTTGGGTTGAAGAATGCACCGGCTACATTCCAGCGCATGATAAACACCGTTTTTATCAACCAGATTGGCAGGAATGTAGAGGCGTATATCGATGACATGATAGTCAAATCCAAGCTACAGACGGATCACCTAGCAGACCTGCGAGAAACCTTCACCACACTCAGGCGGCACCGGGTCATGCTTAACCCAAAGAAATGCGTATTTGGTGTTGAGTCTGGGAAGTTTCTCGGATTCTTGATTGACCAAAGAGGCATCGAAGCTAATCCGGAGAAAATACAGGCGGTAATTGACATGAAGTCTCCCCGCACTGTAAAAGAGGTCCAGAAGTTGACCGGTTGTCTGGCGGCATTGGGGAGGTTCCTCAGCCGGTCAGGTGACAAGTGCCTCTATTTCTTCCAGGCAATCAGGAAGAGGTCAAGGTTTGAATGGGGTGAAGAAGCAGAGGCGGCATTCCAGAGGCCTAAGCAGCACTTGCATTCTTTGCCAAGGCTAGTGAGCCCCCTACCCCGGGAGGTTCTGTACATGTACCTAGCCGTCTCTGATCACGCCCTTAGTGTCGTTCTCCTCGCTGAGAGAAACGACATTCAGCTGCCGGTGTACTTCATCAGCCATGTCTTAAAAAATGCTGAGCTCCGGTACCCCATGATCGAAAAATTTGGGTTGGCCTTATTCGTAGCAGTCAAGCGGTTGAAGCCTTATTTCTTGGCACATCCGGTTGTGGTATACACAGATCAGCCGCTCAAGCGTACGATGACTGCTATAGAGTCATCCGGTAGAATGATCAAGTGGGCTGTTGAAATACAAGGCCTTGAGATAACTTTTGAACCCAGGCGGGCAGTGAAAGGTCAGGCGTTTGCCGACTTTATTGTCGAGATGACTAGGCCGGTGCACCCGGAAAACCCTGATCAGGTCTGGAAGTTATTTGTAGACGGCAGCTCTACGGTGAACGGCTGTGGTGCAGGTGTTATCTGTCATTCCCCGGAAGGGGATAAGTTTGAATATGCACTACGGTTTAAGTTCCAAGCCTCCAACAATGAGGCAGAGTATGAAGCCCTGCTAGCCGGATTGCGCATGTGTAAGGCAGCCGGTGCAAGAAAGGTCGACGCCTGCTCAGATTCACAGCTGATCGTTAGCCAATACCTTGGTGACTACGAAGCCACCCATCCGGCTATGATCAAATATTTGCAGGCGGTCAAAGAGGAGGCTGGGTCCTTCGATGAATTTCATCTGCGACAGGTGCCCCGGTCTGAAAACAATCAGGCGGATGCCCTCTCAAAGTTGGCATCATCAGCCTCCGGTGATGCTCCTAGGACGGTCTTTTGGGAAGTCATTGAAAAACGAAGTATTCAGAATGATCCCATTGGAGTCTTGGACAGAACTGCTACCTGGATGGATCCCATCCGGTCCTTTTTGACGGATGGTACCTTTGCCGGATGACCCTTCAGAAGCATCAGCGCTCAAGAAGCGTGCTTCAAGTTTTGTTATGCATCAAGGGGAACTCCTCCGGAAGGGATGCCTGCAGCCGTTTTTGAAATGTGTAACCCCGGATAGGGGGAGAGAAGTTTTGGAAGATCTGCACGCGGGGTTTTGTGCCTCGCATATTGGCGGCAGGTCCCTGGCCAGAAGAACCAGACGGCAAGGGTACTTCTGGCCCACTCTTGAAGCGGATGCCATGGATCTAGTAAAGAGATGCGACAAGTGCCAAAAATTCGCTAAGTTGATACATCAACCGGCAACAGAACTCACGGCAATCCATAGTCCGGTTTCGTTTGCTAAATGTGGCATGGACATTTTGGGACCTTATATGCCTGCATCAGGCGGCCGCCGCTACATTCTTGTAGCAGTAGACTACTTCACCAAATGGGTTGAGGCAGAGGCGGTAAAAGGGATTAAAACGAAAGACGTGATTTCTTTCATCTGGAGAAACGTCATCACCCGGTTCGGGGTTCCAATGTCCATGGTTTTCGACAACGGACCGCAGTTCGAAACGCCTGTCCTGAAGACCTGGTTGGGAGACCAAGGAATTTCCCATTGTTTTGCATCCGTTGGCCGTCCTCAGGCAAATGGTCAAGTTGAGGCTTTTAACAAGTTGATCTCAGACGGGATAAAGAAGAAAGTAGAAAGAGCCGGTGGACTATGGGCAGAGGAATTACCTCATGTCCTTTGGGCTATCCGGACAACCGAAAAGAGGGCAACCGGTGAGACCCCATTTCTCATGACATACGGCACTGAAGCAGTTCTTCCCATTGAACATTATGAGCCTACTCTACGCATTATGTTATATGATGAGGAGGCTAACTGGGAAGCCATGCGGTTGGCATTAGACGCTCTTCCAGAGCGAAGGGGGAATGCTGCCTTGCGTCATGAGATCTACCGTCTGCGTATGACTAGAGCCTACAACAAGCGGGTTCGTAAAAGACCTTTGAAAGAAGGAGATTTTGTGCTTCGCAAAATGGAGGCAACCGGTAGGGCCAATGAACAAGGCAAATTAACCCCAAATTGGGAGGGACCCTACCGGATCTTTGAAGAAGTACGAGACGGCACTTACCGCCTGGAAACTGCAGACGGAAGAAAGTTGCCTAGAACTTGGAATGTAGATAACCTCAAAAAATACTACTTCTAAGTATTGTACATCTTTTGAAAATTTTCAAATGATTAATGAGAATTACATTCAATTTTGTATACAACCGCCATGTCTTGTGCCTACCACAAGCGGCACCAGTAATTAATTTTTTCATCCGGTGACACCCATACGGGTGAATTCATCGAAGAGAACATCTCCCATTTGGGTGGTAAATTGTTCTAAGCGATCACACAGGCGGCCAAATCCGCCTGACGATCCTTCGCACCAAAAAAGGGCCAGGCTAGCAACCCCAAACTTGCAGCCGGCTCACTTTTTGGAAGGACAGCCGGTACTCAATACCGCCGCCTGACTCTCTAAGAGCAGGCCTAAATTTTTTTTTTCATCCGGTGACACCCATACGGGTGAATTCATCGAAGAGAACATCTCCCATTTGGGTGGTAAATTGTTCTAAGCGATCACACAGGCGGACAAATCCGCCTGACGATCCTTCGCACCAAAAAAAGGGGCAGGCTAGCAACCCCAAACTTGCAGCCGGCTCACTTTTTGGAAGGACAGCCGGTACTCAATACCGCCGCCTGACTCTCTAAGAGCAGGCCTAAACATTTGGTCTAGGCCATAATTCATTCAGGGGTATGCTTGCAAAAGCCCAACCGGTGAATGGACATCCTAATCTGGTGTGATTCTTTTGCGAAGTCCCGACCAGTAATTCAGTATAAACCGACTGGCTCCCGAATCTAATGTTGGCACTTAGTGTATATTCGAGCTATATCATATGGATAGTCGCCTGGCTTGCAAAGACCCAGACCGCTATCCAGGGGCAATTACCCAGACGCCATCCGGTTTGGTTTTGGGTCGAAATTTCTTCGCCTAGTTTGCGAAGACCCAGACGGCAGTGTTACCGGTGGGGTCTTCTTGGAAACCCTTGCAAATTTCTTCGCCTAGTTTGCGAAGACCCAGACGGCAGTGTTACCGGTGGGGTCTTCTTGGCAACCCTTGCAAATTTCTTCGCCTAGTTTGCGAAGACCCAGACGGCAGTGTTACCGGTGGGGTCTTCTTGACAACCCTTGCAAATTTCTTCGCCTAGTTTGCGAAGACCCAGACGGCAGTGTTACCGGTGGGGTCTTCTTGGCAACCCTTGCAAATTTCTTCGCCTAGTTTGCGAAGACCCAGACGGCAGTGTTACCGGTGGGGTCTTCTTGGCAACCCTTGCAAATTTCTTCGCCTAGTTTGCGAAGACCCAGACGGCAGTGTTACCGGTGGGGTCTTCTTGGCAACCCTTGCAAATTTCTTCGCCTAGTTTGCGAAGACCCAGACGGCAGTGTTACCGGTGGGGTCTTCTTGGCAACCCTTGCAAATTTCTTCGCCTAGTTTGCGAAGACCCAGACGGCAGTGTTACCGGTGGGGTCTTCTTGGCAACCCTTGCAAATTTCTTCGCCTAGTTTGCGAAGACCCAGACGGCAGTGTTCCCGGTGGGGTCTTCTTGGCAACCCTAGTAAATTTCTTCGCCTAGTTGGCGAAGACCCAAGCGGTAGTGTTACCGGCGGGGTTCTTTTGGTTATCCTCGCAGAAATATGTATAAAAAATAACAAGAATTCTAGTATTGAAGTGCAGAAACATAAAAAGCATTCAAAAGCCGGCTCAGCCGGTGAAAATGTTAATATTCAAAATAAAAATTATTACAGCTTAGCCCATCTCATCCGGTGCTATTACAAGATAATGCAAGGCGCGCAGGCCGGGAAGTAGTTGCTACTCCAGGCGAACAGTGAACCGGTCCTATTCCGGTTGGTTCTGGGTTGGATCAGGGTGAGCGGCTGCGTTGGCTTCAGGAACAACTTCTTCCTCTTCAGCAGCCTCCGCCTGCCGTCGCGCAATCTCCTCTCTAACCCAAGCGTCATAGGGTCCGGGCCCCGGCTCATTCGCCTCCTCGGCCAGAATGGCAAGATCAGAATATTTGAAGGCGAGTTCCCAGACGGTGAAGTCCGCCTCCGGGTGGATGAGGGAAAACGCCCGTTGCATCCGGTTTGCACAGTCATGCTCATGCTCTTCAATGAGCCTCTCCTGCTCTGACTCCAAGGTGGCCTTGAAGTTCTCATTGGCAGCAGCCGCCTCTTTGCGCAGGCGCTCATTCTCTTTGGCAAGGCGGCCATTTTCAGTCTCCGCCTTGCTCAGCCGTTGGAGGGGCTCTGTCTGTTCCTCCAATTTTTTATTGGCATCATCCAGGGACGCCTGCAGTTGGTCAACTTGGTTTTTCAGCTGATCAATCTGCTGTTGGAGGGCCTTGGTCTTCTCCGCCTGTTCCATGCGTATAGATTTAGATTCTAAGCCATGCATGTACAAAGAGTAGTCAGCAACATTATGGGCGTCATCAACAGCCCGTTTGCTTCTCCTTACCTCCTCAGACTTGCGGGTATAAGCTCGTTTGAGCCCCTCTACGCGCAGCATAGCCTGCAAAAATACAGCCGGTTAATACTGCATATTTAAAAATGCATGTCAAGAAAATTACCGCATGGTTGTTGGAGCATACGTCGGCCAGGTCGACCAGCACCCGGTCGGCATTAAAGGAGTTGATCCCAGGGATCGCCTCCTTCTCGTCCCTGGGGACGGCTTTCAGCATGGCCCGGGCATATTGTGCCCCGTCCGGCCAGCGGGGAGAATTATCTGCACCAGAAACAGACGGTGAGAAACTCGCATATGCTCTGCCTATAGATTGCCGGCTGATTGGAGAATCCCCCGGCTGCGATCGAGACTGAATAAGACTTGACCCGCATGGGCAGATCAAGCAGTGTAAGGTCGAAGTTACCTTGGCGGCCCGAACGGCCTTCAGAGGGACCGGTTGCGGTCCTCAATGGGATGGCAGAAAGCACATCCGCAGATCCAGGCCCGTCTGGGACCCTTATTGATTTGCCGCCGGTAGTTTGCCGGTCGGCTGTCTTCTGCACCTTGGATGCAGACTCTTGTTGGGTCGGCGGAGGCCTGACCTGTTTTTGAAGGGACCGGGGCATCTGTTTCCCGTCCTGTAAACGAGAAAAATATAAGTTGTGGGATAAAAGGATTGAAATAAACGAGAAGGATCAGACGGTTATACCTTCTTCGCCGCCTGGGCAGCAAGTTTTTTCTCGAGATTGGCTTTCCGGATGTCGGCAGCCGACCTAGCCGGTGTCTTCTCGGTGGGCAGCATTTTCTTGGCTTCTTCTGCAGAGGAAGGCACACGGTTAGAATAATAAATAAGCAAGGAAATAAAAGCATCCGGTTCCAAAAAAACCGGCTGAGTTCTGAATACATACGTTTTTTAAACATGCTGCTTAGACCACAAGCGGACAAGAAGCATTCGTCCCTAAAAAATTCATGTTTGGGCACCCAGTTTCTAGGTACCCTTACTATCTCTCCGGATGAGAGGGTGTCAGGAACTAACTCAAAAAACCCGGAGTCAAGGATGGTCTCTCTATCATCCTCCGGGACAGGGGGCAGGCAGCACTTGGTCCCCAAGAGTTCTGGTTTCCGGTTGTAGATCCGGAATTCTCTGTTCTCTGCCGTAGTTGGGGCCTTAACCAAGTAGAACCGGTGCTTCCAGTCCGACCATTTGGATGGCTTGTCCAAGGTCATGAGGTATTTGGGCTGGGTGGTCAAGGTATACCAGGCTCTCCAGCCGCCTGGGCTCCTACTCAAGTAATGCATGTGGGAAAACGCCTCCCAGCCGGGGTTGAGGCCCTGCATCTCGCAGGCGGCGATATACCCTAAAATATTTACCCATGAGTTGGGGGTTAATTGCCAGAGACCTAGGCCATACCCCCTAAGTATGGCTTTTATTGTGTCGTGGAGAGGGAAGCGGACTCCGGCCACGAAGGCCGCCTCGTAGCACCCGAACCAAGCGTTCGCGTTCGGTTGTCCATCCTCCCACCATATTGTTCCCAGAGCAGCCGGGACTTTTATTGTATAGTCACCCCCCAGCGGCCGCCGTTTGATAAAATCTGGCAGCGCAGCCCGCATGAGCTCGCGGTCCTTAGAGGAGACGGCGATCATGAGAGGATCGTTCCTATTATCCCAAGAAGGGCTCTCCGCCTCCTCGCTATCCTCAGATTCGGTTAAGTAGCTGCTACTGCTACTTTGAACGTGACCGGCATCAGAGCCGGCTGGGGAGTTGGAGACCTCCTTATCAGAGCCTACCTGCTCTCTGGTCTCCTGGAGGGGAGCACTCTCTTCGTTTAAAATGCTATCACCCGGGGTGCTAGGAGCGCCCCCGGGTGAGCCTCTCTGCTCTACCTCTCCATGCTCTACTTCACCGCCTGAATCTGGGACCTCAGGCGGCTGCTCATCTGAGCTCCCACTTCTGTAGTTGGGATCTCTGGCAGTAGACCGGATTCTGGCCATTGTGTCCTGCACAGACACAGAGTCGGTCGATATGGGTGTTGAAAAAGGGTTGTCCCAAAGAACAGAGGCGGCAGACCCAGTTCTAGACTCAGCCGTACTAATAAACCGGCTGAGTTCACAGCTAGGTTCCGGGTATGGGTATAAGGGGTCCATCTACTTATGGGACCAATGAACAAAAATGCGAGTAAAAGACTCAAACGGAAATACATGAAAAAGCTAGAAAGAATAGAGACGGTACCTAGAAGAAAATCTGGAAATTCTCTGGGATGCTTGCGAAGACGCAGGCGGTTCAAAATCCGGCTGGGTTTCTCTGATTACCCTCTAGAAAACCTTTGGCTAGCTTGCAACGACCCAGACGGTATGTAGACCGGTTGCTCTCAACGAATCTCAACTCCGAATGCTCTCAACTCTCAAATTGCCGGCTGCTCTCAAATTTTCAGAAATTTGGCAAAGTTTGTAAATGAGAGCTCGGGGGACATCTTCTCCTATTTATAGAATGTCCAAGAAGGTGAAAAGTCGTGACTCTTCGCCTTCTGCTTTTCCATCCTTCAAAAGGAATCTGAAGAGTTGTAAAAAAAAAAAAAAAAAAACTTTCACCGGCGCCACGTGGCACCCTGCCACGTCAGCACCAGTGAGGGGCAAATGTTTGGGGTAAAAATACCCTAAACACGTGGCCCAATGGCCTAGTGACACGTGGCATCCAGCCGTTGGTCAGCAGGGCTCCAATCCTCTGCTGACACGTGTCCTCTAAACCCTAAAAGGGAAACCATCCCTTCCCCACTATAAATAGTGGAAGGACCCTCATTAATGGGGGCTGGAACATTTGTAGTTCACATTGAATACTCCTCAAAGAGAAAAACACTTACCCCGAGCAATATTAATTGCGGAATTCTCCCATTACGCGAGAAGTAACTCCTACATTACGTGCATTCTACCTCCCGTATCTTTACTAACTTGATCGTCGGAGGCGGAGCTCCTACCCCCAGGAGTCTTCGTGATTTTGCAGGCACAGGCGTCGAAGGGCATTCTTGGAATTGTAACTCTCCCGCAGGACACATCAAAAACCCCGAAACAGATGCTATTTGGATTAAACGGAAGCTAGAGGCAATAGAAAAGGAGCAAGAAGATTTATGGAAGCTTATATTACTATAAATATTATTCTTTCGGTTATTTGATCATTTATGGATTTCTAAATGATCAAGTACATTAATATTCATATATATATATATATATATATATATATCAAGAAGTTATATGTTCAATTACGTAACAGTTATAACAAAATACAATAAAATGTTCATAACCAAAAAGACAAATGTTCAGTGTCAAAACAAAACATGTCCAGTTACATATTACTTATCAAAAAAAAAAATTAAGCTGGAACAAATATATGTTGTTTCAATCCAAATTCTTACTTATTATTATTTGCCAACCTATTCGCTACATTAGTGTAAAAAAGAAAAAGCTAACAACCTATCATACTTAGAAAAAATATGTTGATTAGCTACCACGTTGAACACTTTGAACATCTCTTGGAATACTTGGAGGAACTTGAAAATTTATTGGAACACTTGGACGTAATTGAACCTTTTTTTCTTGGCACACTTAAAGAAATTTGGACATCACTTGGAGCACTTGAATGAACTTGGCCTTTTATTGGAGCATACACTTGGACAATACTAAATTCTTTCTTAAAAGCATATTCATTGTACCTGCCATAAATTTCTTGTTCAGAATTAAAATATGTAAAAAGTAACTCTGATTTAGTTGCTTTTTCATACAAAATTTCATCACTAGCACCCGCTGCATAAGTTTTTAAAATGAACATAATCAATGACAGATATGTACAAATACAAAACAGTACATATATAAATGATCATTTAGCATTATCAATTTGATCAAAATAATAAAATAAAATAAAGTACTAAATATTTAAAATATAATTAAAACATCTATAACAGAACATTAGTTTGAATCATAATGAACATTTAGAATTATGAAATTGATCAAAATTGTAAAACTACTAAAAAAAACACGAAAACGTATATAAAAAAAATATAATCAATCACAGAAAACAAATCACAATCAGCAATCATTAAACTAAAAACAGCAAACAAACTTGAATCATAAATCATACTAATCGAAATAAGAGACAAAATTTATTAAAATAAAAACTTCAATTCACTTGAATTATAACACTAAACCAAATTGAACTAAATTAAACAAAGGCTAAATTGATTAAAAAAAACTTGAAAAATCGAATAAAATCAGCAAATAATTTAAAACAAACAGCTAACAAAATTGAATCAAACAATTGACCAGCAAGCATTAGTCGAAATCAGAGACAAAATTGATCAAATTAAACAACTCCAATCAGAGACAAAATAACTTCACAATCACGATCAAATTCGACAATTGAAGAATGTAGCACTTCATTATCACAATCAACAGCTCCAATCAATGATTCATCCATAAATAGGAGGAAAAAAAGTGATTGAAAGAGAAATAATGTTGAAGAAGAGAGAGAAAATGCAAAAAAAATAAAAAAAAAGCGTAAAACAGAAAAATAGGTTTTGAATCATATATATAAATGACTTGAGAGATAAGATAAGATAAGATAAGATTAAAAAAAAACCTGAAAAGCATAAACAGGTAAAACGATGTAGTATAATTGGGGGGAGTAGGCAGCATTGTCTAAAGGGGGTTGTAGGTAAAAATTTGCGGCCAATGAGCCCAAAATTATAGCCGTGCAAATTATAATATGCACCATGGTGCACCTTAAATTGTGTGCACCACCAATGAGTTGATGCCACGTAATTAGTAGTTGCCAGCTGTAGCTTTCTTCTTTCAAATTCTCAACGTTCTTCCCTTTTCTATTTCATGTGTTCTTTCCTTTTTCAATTATTTTCTAATTTCTCAATTCCTTTTCTTCAATTTTCCTCTTAAACTTACCTGATTTTAAATCATCATACATAATTTTTCTCTCCTCTATCTTTCTCTCTTCGTATATTGAATGCGGTTATCACCATTGTTTATTCCTCTGTTTTGATTGAATTTGGCTGGAATTCTCCTGG